GCCATCTGTCAAGGATGCATTAGCTGAGATTCCGGCATTGCAGGGGGTTGTACTTGATGACCCTTGAAAGTTCTCTAGAACTGCAATCTAGTTCTCTACATTTCTATGAGTGAGGCGCAAAACCTTTTCCTCTACCCACTTTCTCCATGCCATTCCATCATTACACCTCTTATGTATTTTCTCCAAGCTAAAAAGTCCCAAATGCTGCAACTTCTTCTTGCAGGGGACCCACTCTAATCCCTTCGATCATTTTGGGTGCCCTTTTATTCAAGTAGCAGCGTCTACAATTAAGTACAAAAAAAGGAGATGTGAGTTAAAGGACTTATTGTTTCCGCATTATTTCCAGGCACTCTCTGATGGCATCTTAGCAACTTCCTATCTGATATGTCTTTAGCACCTGCCAATCCCCTTTCCATCTTCTAAAACGCTCGCCTCTAGGGATAATCTCACCGAAGCAATTACTCATGTTAGGAAAATGCAACTGGGATCGGGCAGTCAATAAGGGCGATATGTCAGAAATTGTGATGGACTGTGGGAGATGAGAGTGGGTAACAGAAAGAACATGCAAGGATCAGAGTCCACTCTGGTAGGGAAGGAAATTGCTCCCAAGGAGAGCTTGATGCCTGGATTTGATTAGTTTTGCATGTTCCTCGCTGGCTGCTTAGAGGGGGGAAAGTATTAAAAAGAACAAAACTGCACTCCTCTACACGGGAGGTAATATTTAAAAATGTATGAGCATCAGCCATCAAAGCCCTGTGGCTTTTCTCCATTGCAAGACAATTGAAATGTAATGGAAATCCTATTGATTTTCAGTGGGGGGAACTGCAGGATGCCAATTGTCCAGAATCCAGTGTTGTTGCTCGAGGTGGAATTGCACAAAGAGAAGCCAATCACAGCTGCTCAGCTCCCCTGCGAAGTCTGCACCAGAATCCTGCCTTGATGACGGCTGCTTTTCTCCGACTCCTGATTAAATTGCTAGAAAATGAGATCGTTTGGTTGGCTTCGATATTCCTGAAGAGCTTGAGGTTACCTGTCTCCAGACTTTGATTTCCAGAGGTGAAGCCATGCTAGTCTCTGGCAGCAAAAGCAACAAAGAGTCTCACAGCACCTTAAAGACTAACAAATTTATCATGGAACAAGCTTTCATGGTCCACAGCCCACTTCATCAAATGCACAGAGCATTTAGGGAGGGGCAAATTGATCAATTTTGATTCCTCTCCATTCCTCGCGTTCTCCCCAACCTTTCAGTTCAGGTTGCCACATTTCCACATTGTGAGATATATATATATATTTAAGTGTTCGTGACAATTTGCCAGCATTTTAGTGCAAATCTCTCCTAATATATTGGGGCCAGATTCAACTGAATAATTGTGCTAGTGGGAGCCAGCATGATGAGTTGCACCAGCCCAATGAGGCTTCCCCCCTCTCCTAACCCCCTGTGCCCCACCCAAATTGGGTGGGGGGGCATTGCGAGAACCCCAGGACATCATGCAGGGGAAGGCAAGGGGAAGTAATTCTATCGGGCAAGCAGAGGTGTTTGTGATAATGGAACGATTATATTAGCGCTACTTTGAATCCCACCATTTGCATGCAGTTTTCCGTATATATTTTTGCAAGCATTTTCCCTAGGATGTTTTCCCATGTTACTTGCATGAATATAGACATTTCTCTCTATACTAATAGCAACGCCTTGAATTCGGCCAGGTTGCAAATAGGCAGCTGGTGCAGATCTCTGAGCAGAAATGTTAGGAGAGCCAGTGTGGTGTAGTGGTTAAGAGTGGTAGTCTCTTAATCTGGTGAACCGGGTTCGCGTCTCCGCTCCTCCACATGCAGCTGCTGGGTGACCTTGGGCCAATCACACTTCTCTGAAGTCTCTCAGCCCCACTCACCTCACAGAGTGTTTGTTGTGGGGGAGGAAGGGGAAGGAGAATGTTAGCCGTTTTGAGACTCCTTCGGGTAGTGATAAAGCGGCATATCAAATCCAAACTCTTCTTCTTCTATATGTGCTGACTGCATTTAGTTTAATACAGTTAGAAGCACTGCATCAGGGTTCTCGATTCTGCAGAGACTTCTATCCACATTTAGCTTCCTATAGTCAGAAGGGTTGCCATATTTCAAAAAGTGAAAATCTGGACACAAAAGATTGGGGGGGGGGGAATCGCAAAAAAGGAAGTTTTTGAGCTACTTTGAAGGAAAATCACCCAAAACAAAACTGCTGACATGGGTTGCCATATGGTCTGGGTTTTCCTAGACATTTTAGAAATTTTTGCCTGGGAAATTCAGGACTTATGGCAATCCCACCTACAGACATTTGTGCTAAACACACAAAGACTGGAGATGGGGACAAGCTCTGCTGACCTCCTGAATAGCGCTAAGATCTTCAGATGTAATAATGTGTGATGGACCCCCTGGAGGAGACTTGCCATAGTTGACACGGCTGAAACTAATAGGAGTCAATAACGGGATTAGCCTTGGTTGGGTGAGGACAGGTTTCTCCAAATCCGATGGGACAAAGAAACAGTAATGGCAGATCCCTTATCCCACCTTTATCTTGGTATGCCCCGCGGAGGACCTTAAGGTCCACAAATGACAACATTTTGGAGGTCCCAAGTCACAAGGTGGTTAGATTGGTCTCAACTAGGGCCAGGGCCTTTTCAATACTGGCCCCGACTTGGTGAAACACTCTGTCACAAGAGACTAGGGCCCTGCGGGACTTGACATCTTTCCGCAGGGCCTGCAAGACAGAGCCACCTGGTTCCACCTGGCCTTTGGCTTGGAATCAGTCTGACCCTTATGTTTTCCCTCCCCTTATGGTTTTGTTCTATGGGCTACTTTTGAAATGAGGTTGCATTTTAAATTGCATTTTAACCTGAATTTTAAATTGCCCCCCCTATCTTTTTATTGTAATTTTAATGGTGTTAGCTGCCCCGAGCCTGGCTCTGGCCGGGGAGGGAGGGGTATAATAAAATATTATTATTATTATTATTATTATTATTATTATTATTATTATAGTGCTCCTTACACCCACCTTCACCAGAGTGATGGAGAGGGGAGAGGGCTGGTCAGGTGACAGGATTCACCTCTCATCGGTGCCACCCTTCATTAATTGTTGCTATAGACAAGAGGGCTGTGTATCAAATGTCACAACTTTATGTAACTGAGTTTTGTGAACTGTCTTTCCCACACACTTTTGAGATGTGCATACTTCACACACAGAGATGTACGTTCAAATACACCCAAGTCTTGGGAGGCCCACAATCCTATAGTAAGATCCACAAAGATGTGCAGCATAGAGTGCAGTAGATCTCTGGCTCAGCTAGCTGATTCCCAACCCTGGCTCAGCCAAATATTCACTGGTGTAACTTGCTCATCCCAGCTTAGATGGCTAAGCCAAGGCTAGTGTAAGTCCAAAAAATGGGGACATTCTGGAAGGGGCTGGAGGGGACTTAGACTGGATCCTCAGCTCATTCAATTCCATCATGTGGCCTGGCAACATGGCACTGAACACTATTTTAAAGATTTGCTTTCCCTCTGCCCTGGTTAGGCAGAGCAGCGGCAGCAGCCCCACTGCTGGATGGGGTTTCAAAATGGTGCAACTTCACACCAGCTTAATTTACACTAGCTTAGTTTAGACCTGCTTCTTTGGCACAGGGTTCCTCCCTTAGAATTCGTCTGTCACAGATGGAATCACATTACTGTAGTGCTAATAACTAAATGATAAACATTCCCCTGCAAAGATCTCCCGTTGGCAATGATAAGAAAGGAAGACGTACCATGCAAAACGTGCACCTTTCGCTTGAAAGCCAAAGTCCAAAGGCATCACTCTCAACCCACTGCCCACAGGTAGACTGCAACATCAGCATCTCTCAAACTATTTGCTTATTTCCAAACATAATCCATAAAGGGGAACTAGAGGCTCTAATGGATGCAACATTAATATAATCATAAAAACAACATTACATTAATTAGAACTTTGTAAATGCAGTAATTAAGATATTCGGGGACAGCTGTCTTGCCTGTCCCCAAACATCCCTGAGAAATCTCCCAACACTACTTACTTGAGAGCTGTCATCTGTCCAGTTTCTGGGAGAACCATCTGTTGGCGTTTTTTCAATCTTGGCTGGCAAAGAAGATTCAAAGAAATGTGTCTAAACTCTTCTTTTACGAGAATAACAAAGGGAACAAAATCCCATATCTGCAAAACCCCAGTTGCGTGGCAAGTTCCTGCCTCCAACCAGCAGAAATAAAGACACACGACACCATTATTTTAGGTTAATGGGCTAAAATTGGCCACAACTTTATTGGTTACAGGTTAAGAGCGGTATTGGCTTAGGCATTGGTCCTAACCGACTATCCGGCTTCAGCCCGTCCGCTTGAAGTCCGGGAAGGGTTAACACCAGTAGGGGGAGCCATGCTGATGCACATCAACTAGGGACTCCCCCGGGGTCACTGCTCGGGGGCGCACTTATGCCCTGGCCTCCATAGGCTTTGGACGAGGCCATGCCCCCCGGAATCCTTTTCCGGACTACCCTTCAATATTTGGGGGAAGTGACGGCGCTCCTCCCCCCCAACACTACATAACAATACCCCTACCAATGCCTAACCGCCAAAACCAAAGGAGTTGTGACGATTTGCTACGAGGTAGGCGAAAAAGCAAATGGCCGGTGCCAATCTGCCAAGTGGAAAAAATTAAAGGGCGGGCGGGTGGGAAAAACGGAACAGCTGAGCAGAACCAAAGAGGGAGATCCCAGGGCCACGCTTGCCTTAAATGAGGCAAGCAACACACCCCAGCCAGCCGACTGGCTGGCTCAGGGGATGACGGGACCCGAGGATTCCCCTGATTGCGCGGGGGCTAGAAGCCAGCTTCCGCGCATGTGTTGAGGGCGTGAAGCCCGCAACACCACTTCCTCCCGAGGTCGGAAGTGGCTTTGCCAACACTTAGAATCATAGAAATGTAGAGTTGGAAGTCATCTAGTCCAACCCCCTGCAATGCAGGAATCTTTTGCCCAGTGTGGGGTTCAAACCCATGACCCTGAGATCGAGAATCTCATTCTCTACCAACTGAGCTATTTCAGTTTCTCAAATCAAAGCAAACTGTTATGTACTGAAGTTCTCACTCTGGGCCAGCAGGGGGATACTGTAGATAGTTCAGGTCCACATATGCAAATAAGGGATCAAAAGTGACGTTCAGTGATTGGATGGTTACAGAAAGTTGTTACAGTTACGTTGTACTGGAGCTCTATATAAGCAGGCTGGCTGAACCCTTCAGTTCAGTTCTGTTCTGACCTGTGAATAAACAAGAGCTGTTTGGAGAATTGCTGTGTTGTCTGATATGTTCACCCACAACTTAAAACAAACTATTGGTTCATATAGCCCAGTTGCGCCTACACAAACTAGCAGCGGCTCTCCACAATTTCTAAGAGACCTACCTGGAGATGCTGGGGACTGAACCTAGTTCATGCAAAGCAGATGTTCTACCACTGAGCCATGGCTCTGCTTTATTTGCCCACTGACTTGTTCACGCGCAAGCGAAGACAAGGAATTGGTGGCTGTGTCTTTATTTTGGTTTCCTTCAGTTTCCTCTCCCTCTTCCAAGTTTTAGATCACGAAAAAAATTGGCCGGCTGATAAAAGTAACCAGGGGTTTCAGTAAAACAATGTCACTTTTTAATTTCCATAACTTTTGTTGTTGTTTAGTCATTTAGTCGTGTCCAACTCTTCGTGACCCCATGGACCAGAGCACGCCAGGCACTTTTGTCTTCCACTGCCTCCCGCAGTTTGGTCAAACTCATGTTGGTAGCTTCAAGAACACTGTCCAACCATCTCGTCCTCTGTCGTCCCCTTTTCCTTGTGCCCTCCATCTTTCCCAACATCAGGGTCTTTTCCAGGGAGTCTTCTCTTCTCATGAGGTGGCCAAAGTATTGGAGCCTCAGCTTCACGATCTGTCCTTCCAGTGAGTACTCAGGGCTGATTTCTTTCAGAATGGATAGGTTTGATCTTCTTGCAGTCCATGGGACTCTCAAGAGTCTCCTCCAGCACCATAATTCAAAAGCATCCATTCTTCGCCAATCAGTCTTCTTTATGGTCCAGCTCTCACTTCCATACATCACTACTGGGAAAACCATGGCTTTAACTATACGGACCTTTGTTGGCAAGGTGATGTCTCTGCTTTTTAAGATGCTGTTGAGGTTTGTCATCACTTTTATCCCAAGAAGCAGGCGTCTTTTATTTTCCTGACTGCTGTCACCATCTGCAGTGATCATGGAGCCCAAGAAAGTAAAATCTCTCACTGCCTCCATTTCTTCCCCTTCTATTTGCCAAAACTATTCAATACTTATTCAAAGACATTTATGAGTTTACAAAAATAGTATCTAAACTGCATCTTCTTCCGGAGCTCACTAAGTCTGATAAACAATCAGGTGGCAAACATTCAAATACAGAGGATCATAGGTGATGGATGGAAAGGAGATCTTAGAACAGGGCATTAAAACTATATTCTCTGCACCGGTCCTTTCTCAGTTAGGTAGCAGGTGGTTTTTAGCCTGTCTACAAGGTTTTGTTGAGTGTGGCACAATATGACATCATTCCTTAAAACTTTTGGAACTCATTTGCATTTATCCTCCTCCTCCAGAATTGATTCAATTCAATTAGCTTGCCTTCATTCATGCCCAGGTTGCAAAATGACCCTATAAATGTTGTTTAACCCTCCTCAACTTCCTTCTTATCTATTGAGATCCAAGAACTCATTAGCTATAGTTGGGGCTTTCCCTAAACAAGTGTTTACGACTGAGGCTATCTCTCCCTTATTTTGTAGCCATACCACTCCCTCCTCAATGAAACCCCAAATTGAAAACTATTTTCATCATGGTAAAAAGAAAACCCAACAGTTTACAAGAAGTCACAATCACACGAACTGGGTGAATCTTGAAAATATGCAAGTCAAAGGCCACTTTGTAGAAAATCACATGGGGGGAAACAGCAAAACATCACATGTACATTAGGCGGACCTGCCTGCTGAATTGTTGGGAGAAAAGCACACTTAAATGCTGATGAATTTATGTGAGGGGTTTTTAATTAAAATTTTTATTTTAAATATATATATATATTAAAAATTGCAAATTGATGTGGAAATGCACGGAACTGATTTTAAGATTGCGGGGAATGAGAAATGGAGAGAAAACAGATGGAAGTCAATCAATGAAATTTTATTATTATTTTCATATTGAGATATTTGTAGAATAAATTTGGAAGAAATTCTTCCAACTTTTCTTCTTCTTTTCTTCTTTTTCTCTCTTTTGTTCCTTTTTTTCATGTATATGTGCTTATTTGAAGTGTATATGTGTGTATGTATTTGCAGTGTTTTGCTTATATTTTGTAACAATTATGTTAAATAGAATTAAAAGGGGGGAAGAAAACAGATTTCACAGATTCATCTATGCCTACTTGTGAGGTAGGTTAAGCTGAGAGATAGTGACAGATCAAAGGTCACCCACGAAGCACTGAGAATGAGAGATATAAGCCAGGATTTTCCCCACTCTGTATCTGGAATGCTAGCCCTTATATCACACAAGTTCTCAGAACTAACTAACAGACAACTGCCCTTATAACCTTCACCTTTTTTTTTTTAAATGACCCATGAGGACACCAGAATCGATGGGAAAAATTAATGGGTTTTACTCTGATTTGTAGAGCAACTGTTAGTGATCTGAGAGTCTACTGTTAGCATTAAACAGATTGCACTAGAGCAAGTGAGTGATGCAATTACATCCATGAAGCATTATAGTGGATATTTTTGGAACATGTTATCTCCCGAACGTACAAGGAGGTTTTGAGAAAGGATTTGAATCTTTGGAAATTAAGAGGGGTAAACGTTTCAAAACATCCTTAAAACTGATGGACTATGCTGAAATGGTGAAATTGACAGCTAAACTGAGAAGACAGAGTGAGAATTTGTACAAGGAAGAATGGAGGCCACGGATGGACTTCTCTATTAAACTATCGTCTATATATAAAGTAGCAGGTAGGATTAGAAATAGAAGCAACGGATTATTGAAAGAATTAATGATAATGGAGGTTAGATAATAAAAAACATGTGTGATCTAAAACAGCTAATAAAAAGGAGTAACAAAAAAAAATCAGGAAAGGAGAGGTGGGAACTCAAGAAGGAATTATGTGGGTTTTTTAAAAAACTGTATATGATGACCAGAGTTTTGTACTATTTTTGGAGACTTAATAAAAATTATATACCGTATTTTTTGCTCTATAAGACTCACTTTTTCCCCTCCTAAAAAGGGGAAATGTGTGTGCGTCTTATGGAGCGAATGCAGGCTGCGCAGCTATCCCAGAAGCCAGAACAGCAAGAGGGATTGCTGCTTTCACTGAGCAGCGATCCCTCTTGCTGTTCTGGCTTCTGAGATTCAGAATATTTTTTTTCCTGTTTTCCTCCTCCAAAAACTAGGTGTTTCTTGTGGTCTGGTGCGTCTTATAGAGCGAAAAATGCGTATATAATAAAACACATCCTTAAATTTAGCATGGAGGAGGGAGATGAAAGGAGAGGTGTTGACACTGGCTGCTAAGGGAGAACCCACTCTATTTGGGGTTTATTTTCCTTGAAAAGCTCCTCTTCCTTCTCAACGGATTTTTGACAGCACCTGATAAAATGTTAACCCGTTAATTTACATTTTCTTCTCTCGCAGCTTCATTTGTCCTCGAGCAGAATCATGATGTTACTTTATTCGCATGGTCACTCTTTGATCCTTGATTTCATGGGATCGCCCATCTAACTGATCTAGGAAAACGTTGGGCTAACCCTCCATTGGCTTCACTCTAGGTAACCTTGATAGGTTACTTAGCTTCATAATAATAATAATAATAATTTATTATTTATACCCCGCCCATCTGGCTGAGTTTCCCCAGCCACTCTGGGTGGCTCCCAATCGAGTGTTAAAAACAATACAGCATTAAATATTAAAAACTTTCCTAAACAGGGCTGCCTTCAGATGTCTTTTAAAGAGAAGATAGCTGCTTATTTCCTTCACATCTGAAGGGAGGGCGTTCCACAGGGCGGGCACCACCACCGAGAAGGCCCTCTGTCTGGTTCCCTGTAACCTCACTTCTCGCAATGAGGGAACCGCCAGAGGCCCTCGGTGCTGGATCTCAGTCTCCGGGCTGAACAATGGGGGTGGAGACGCTCCTTCAGGTATACAGGACCGAGGCCGTTTAGGGCTTTAAAGGTCAGCACCAACACTTTGAACGACCTTGACAGATTAGAGAACTGGGCCAAAACAAACAAGATGAATTTTAACAGGGAGAAATGTAAAGTATTGTGCTTGGGCAAAAAAAAATGAGAGGCACAAATACAAGATGGGTGACACCTGGCTTGAGAGCAGTACATGTGAAAAGGATCTAGGAGTCTTGGTTGACCACAAACTTGACATGAGCCAACAGTGTGACGCGGCAGCTAAAAAAGCCAATGCAATTGTGGGCTGCATCAATAGCAGTATAGCATCTAGATCAAGGGAAGTAATAGTGCCACTGTATTCTGCTCTGGTCAGACCTCACCTGGAGTACTGTGTCCAGTTCTGGGAACCACAGTTCAAGAAGGACACTGACAAACTGGAACGTATCCAGAGGAGGGCAACCAAAATGGTCAAAGGCCTGGAAACGATGCCTTATGAGGAACGGCTAAGGGAGCTGGGCATGTTTAGCCTGGAGAAGAGGAGGTTAAGGGGTGATATGATAGCCATGTTCAAATATATAAAAGGATGTCACATAGAGGAGGGAGAAAGGTTGTTTTCTGCTGCTCCAGAGAAGCGGACACGGAGCAATGGATCCAAACTACAAGAAAGAAGATTCCACCTAAACATTAGGAAGTTCTTCCTGACAGTAAGAGCTGTTCGACAGTGGAATTTGCTGCCAAGGAGTGTGGTGGAGTCTCCTTCTTTGGAGGTCTTTAAGCAGAGGCTTGACAACCATATGTCAGGAGTGCTCTGATGGTGTTTCCTGCTTGGCAGGGGGTTGGACTCGATGGCCCTTGTGGTCTCTTCCAACTCTATGATTCTATGATTCTATGAATTGTGCTCGGAAACGTACTGGGAGCCAATGCAGATCTCTCAGAACCGGTGTTATGTGGTCCCAGCGACCACTCCCAGTTACCAGTCTAGCTGACACATTCTAGATTAATTGCAGTTTCTGGGTCACCTTCACGTAGAGCGCATTGCAGTAGTCCAAGCCGGAGATAACTAGATCATACACCACTCTGGCAAGACAGTCCGCAGGCAGGTAGGGTCTCAGCCTGCGTACCAGATGGAGCTGGTAGACAGCCGCCCTGGACACAGAATTGACCTTTGCCTCCATGGACAGCTGTGAGTCCAAAATGACTCCCAGGCTGCACACCTGGTCCTTCAGGGGCACAGTTACCCCATTCAGGACCAGGGAGTCCCCCACACCCACCCGCCCCCTGTCCCCCAAAACCAGTACTTCTGTCTTGTCAGGATTCAACCTCAATCTGTTAGCCGCCATCCATCCGCCAACCGCCTCTAGGCACTCACTCATGTCATCATTCCATCCGTGATTTATTTCGTTCATACATAGAGAGACACATGTTCACCCAGATAGATAAACATTTGCAACCTGCATTTTGGTATACCAACTGCTAGGAGCCACAGGAGAGATGAGTGCTCTTGTGCTCAAATTCTGCTTGGGGTTTTTCCACAGGCATCTGGTTGGCCACCAATATGTTGGACTAGTTGGGCAACTGGACTGATCCAGCCGGCTTTTATGCTCTTATATATATATATATATATATATATATTTAAAATAAATAAATCTACAAGGCAGAAAATGAAAATTTTAAACCCATTGTACAAAAATGGATAACAATGAAAATCGATATTTTTAAAAAAGCAAAAGAAGAAACTGAACTAAGGTTGCCATACTTCAAGAAGTAAAAATCTGAAAAAGGCAAAGTGTGATACTCAAACAAACACTTCCTTGTTCTGTTGTAAAAAAAACAGACATTTCTCTTATTTTTCATAATTCTGCCCAGATGCTAATTTCGCCATTGAAATCCCAGACATGTCCAGGATGTCCAACCCTAAACTAAACACTCTCTAAAATAGCACTATCTTTTTACAGCATCTGATGAGGTAGAGTAAATTTTCCCACTATCGAGAGTTCTTTTCCTGGAAATACTTCTTCCAGAAATGGAGGAATATTTGGTTCAGTTGTATACAGAACAACATTTGAGCATCAATCCCGCAAGAGACTCTCAGCTTGCATTTGTCCAATGTATGTCCTCCTCCTCTGATAGCTACATATTCCCGGGGAACCATCCAAAACAGATATTTAGTTGGCAATTTTCAGGCAATTAGGGAGTCGTATCTCTGGCCTGATGAAGTTTCATCTTGAGTTTGCTCCATTCAGTGTGAAATGGGAGCTAAATATACGATGTTTCTCTTCAGGCCTTCACCACAAAATAAGCAAAACCTCTCCACGGAATTAATAGTGGCAGCAATTTCAACCATTGTCTTCCAGTAATAGATTCCTTGGACTTTTTATAGTGTCGACGCTAACCCGCATGACTCGCCAAGAGTCTGGCTCCTTAGTACATTAAAAAAATGAACTATCTGAGTTTCTTAAAGGCTATTAAAAACTGAAAAGCTTATTTTCAGCAGTGTAAAGAGAAGAAGGGTAACTGTAGGTAACTCAAACATTTACAATAACCTATAGCTTCATGTGGGGTGGGGTCGCTTTGCTAAGTTCAATGTAGGGATGAGTCGTATATTCATTTGAGTCCTATTTTAATGAGAACCTACCTAATTTCCACTTCCCAAACCAATGTGTACAAACCATAATATTCTTCAACATTTGCACTTCTCTAAATTTTCCAATGTCGAACCCATTTAAAACATATATTTTTAGAAGTGCTTAATCGGAAAAACTACTTGCAAAAGGGTAGACATTTAAGGCAACGGTAGGTGTTTGGTTCACGTTAATTACCGCAATTTCACCATGCAGATGACAATGTAATGGATGTAATGAACTTAAGTTGTGTTATTAATCATGTAAGTTTCATAATTTCACCACACTGGACTGTGAGATGAATAGTGTCATTTTTTTTGCAGAAGGCGAACTGCAGCAGAAAGGAAATAATGGTATATGCCACAAATACTGAGTAGAATAGAAAATGGTGCCTCAACACAGTCAAAACTGTGATTAATGGGAGTTTGCATTTAATATGAAGTACATCTACAGCTTTGTAATGCAAATGTTTCCCTCAACACTTAACTCTCGAAAGGATTTGGGGGGAACTGAACTCCACCCTGGCGTACCTGGCAACAACTCCCTACTGGTGTATATGGTCCCAAAAAGTACAGTCCCATAAAGCTCCTGAACCATCCAAGCTGAGGTACATCAACTTGGGAAATTGAGCAGACACAGCACCTCAGCTCTGCTTCCTTTTTATACCTTGATTGCAGCATCTGGGCTTGATGAGGCAGGTTGACCCTCACCTGTATTGAGCCTACTCCAGCTGAGGAATTACACACCTTCTCCCAGAGCTAGTGAGCCACCTGGCCAGCTAGTGACTTGGGCTGTGGGCCCTTGCCTGCCTCAGCTTCCTAGAGCAGGCATAGGCAAACTCGGTCCTCCAGATGTTTTGGGACTACAACTCCCATGATCCCTAGCTAACAGGACCAGTGGTCAGGGATGATGGGAATTGTAGTCCCTAAACATCTGTAGGGCCGAGTTTGCTTATGCTTGCACTAGGCCACTGGAAGTAGTACAATTCTCATCATCCTTGACCACTGGTCCTGTTAGCTAGGGATCATGGGAGTTGTAGTCCCAAAACATCTGGAGGACCGAGTTTGCCTATGCCTGTCCTAGAGTGTACCTCCCAATGCTCCCTACACCTCAGAGCCCACTGTGTTTGTGGAGACAAGGATCCTTCCAGCTCAGGTGATGGGCCTTGCTCCTCTGATTCCCTGCCGTCACCCCATGAATACTTTTTATATCCCAACCTCTCCACCCCCATCTTGCCCTGGTGTCATGGCTGCACCCAGTGCTGGATTTACATATAAGCTAAACAAGCTATAGCGTAGAGCCCCACTCTCTTGACCCCCCCCCCAAAGCAAATAAAATAAAATCTACATACAGCAACAGTGGCAAATGGCTTTAGATACCTATTAGGTCCATAAATTACCATATAGCATATATTCAACACAAAAACCAGTGACAATTTGTTCTTGACAAAGGACAGCTGGACATATAAAGGGCCCCATTCCCTTCAGTAGCTTAGGGCCTCATCAAACCTAAATCCGGCCCTGGCTGCACCCTCACTGAGATCCTCTTCCCCATTGTCTTGCCAGTTCATGACAATGTATAATTCAGGTAGTTGGAATGTGAATAGTCTTTGTTTTTGCATCAACCAATATTTACTCAATTCCTAATAACCGATTGGACTTTGATCCATTTCAAGGTTGCTCCCAGCGAAGGCAGCAGGTCATTGGATGCCATGATACTGCAGAGGCAGAATGCTTCCTTGGGAATGTGAGGCAAAGTATATTTCCACTGTTTAATGGCTTGTACACCAAGAGTAATCTGTATCTACGTCCATTTTTTATGAGAAACATTAAGAAAGGTCAGGTTGTTATATTTAGGAAGATACTTTATTTCACCCATTATTCAAAAGGGTCATGTCCAAGCCTCCAACTAGGCTCAAATCACCAGCCTAAAGCTTTAAACTATGAAGCAGCAGTTCAGAAGTCATACTTTGCACCCTTGAAAGCCCAGATTCCTTCATCCCAGATGTGTGGGGAACTGCCTGTTTTCTGTTTTATATCATCATCATCATCATTTATTATTATTTATACCCCGCTCATCTGGCTGGGTTTCCCCAGTCACTCTGGGCAGCTCCCAACAGAATATTAAAACCACAATAAATACATCAAACATTAAAAACTTCCCTAATTAGGGCTGCCTTCAGATGTTTTTTAAAAGTCAGGTAGTTGTTTATTTCCTTGACATCTCATGGGAGGGTGTTCCACAGGGTGGGCACCACCACCAAGAAGGCCCTCTGTCTGGTTCCTGATAACCTCACTACTTGCAGGGAGGGAACCACCAGAAGGCCCTCGGCGCTGGACTTCAGTGTCCGGGCTGAATGATGGGGGTGGAGACGCTCCTTCAGGTATACTGGGCCGAGGCCATTTAGGGCTTTCAAGGTCAGCACCAACACATTGAATTGTGCTCGGAAACATACTGGGAGCCAATGAAGGTCTTTCCAGACCAGTGTTATATGGTCTCAGTGGGCACACCCAGTCACCAGTCTAGCTGCCACATTCTGGATTAGTTGTAGTTTCCAGGTTACCTTCAAAGGTAGCCCCGCGTAGAGTGCAATGCAGTAGTCCAAGTATCCAGGAACATCTTGGAGGGCCACAGGCTATAGACGAAAGTTTTCGCAACTTAGAAGCTTCATTCGCAAGCTGCAAAAGTGTGTGTTTAGGTGATATTTGGTGGGGTGTCATAGAATCATAGAATTGTAGAGTTGGAAGGGACCACAAGGGTCATCTAGTCCAACCCCCTGCAATGCTGGAATCTTTTGCCCAACATGAGGCTCAAACCCACAACCCTGTTTTGTTTTGTTTTGTTTTTTGTTTTGTTTTGTTTGTTTTATTTTTGAGAGGGACATACCAATGGTAGCCTCAACAGCCTTTCTGTCAAGTTTTATATATGTATATTTATAGTCAATTTGTTATTTTTAGCAGGTTTATGCCAAAGGTTCCATATGAAACTTTGGGGGGTCATTTTTTTGTTGTTTATTATCTCCAGAAGCCACATTATTGGACTTGCCCACACATCATGAGGCAGGGCTTCTTCTTCACCCGAGCCTGGCAGAGGGGAAACAAGCCTTTAAATTAATCATGGGATTGTCGATTCGGAAGGGACCACAAGGGTAATCTAGTCCAACCCCTGCCATACAGGAATCTGTTGCCCATTGTGGTGATTGAACCCATGACTTCAAGATTAAGAGGCTCACGCTCTGCCAACTGAGTCATCCCTATGTTTTCTGCAGGGTTGCCAGGTCACATGACTGAGATGAATGGGCTTAGAAAATTCAACCTCTCTGGTCCTGCCATGCCCCCAAAACACCCCTTTTGGGGAGCTTCCACTGGCCTGGCTTAGCCAGTTGAGCCCCAGCTGAGCTTAGATGCAATAGGCCTATGGATTTAATGCTGGGGGAGCCTGGCTGAGCCAGGAACCAGCTGGCTGAGTCAGAGATCCATTGCATCCCGAATTGCTAAACCTGGAGAACCATGCCATGGGATTGCTCCCTTAGTTCCCTTCTTTGAGGTTTAAAAGCCCAACCCTGTGGCATTTTTTTTTTACCAACAACCAAAACACAGTGAAAACAAACAGTGAAACCTCCCAGGCGACTGATACATTGGGTATACATAATCAATAATAACATATTCAAATCAACCATATGTACAATTCTATATACCTTAATACTCCTCCCTTCACAAGGTTTATTTAACTTTTAACATTTTAATTGCCCCAAATTGTTCAAACCTGCCCAAATAATTCAATACCTTCTTGAACCAATCCTCCTCCTTCTCACTGACCTTAAACCCTTTCATTTTATGTATCTTCACAGTTAGATATTCTAAGATTATAATATTTTTCAATTTTTGGTTTACCCCTAGCTCTTCTGCATTTTTCCAGTTACTCGCTATAACCTGTCTGGCTGCAATTACCATCAATTTTACCCATTTACATTCCTCTTTTGTTTCTAACTCGGTGCAACTCAGGCTAATAAGAACCATTAATTTAGATATTTCCACCTTCCTACCCATAATTCCCGATATTTCTATACCAATCTGTTTCCAGAATTCATTAACTAACGGACGATCCCACCACATATGCCTGTACATTCCCATAACTCCACATGTCCTCCAACAATTCTTACTTCCAGATTTTGTAATATGATATAACCGTACAGGTGTGTAATACCATTTTTATACCAACTTCAACCCTTGTTCCTGGATTATCCTAGAGGTCGCAACAAAGGGTGGTTGCTGAAAGATTCTTTCCCAATCTTCATCTAAAATCGGTTCCTGATATCTAGTTTCCAATATTCTTTCAAACCTTCCTTTGGTGATTTCTCTTTGTCTAATAACACCTTATACAATTTTGAAACTATTTTGTCCCTATCTGTCCTATATCCTTTCACTAATTCTTCCTCTGGCATTTTAGCCCAAAGTGCCCCTGCAAATAGTCTCTGCACCTCTCTTCAAGCGAATGCATTATACATCAAAGGCAGAGGCATGTTAAATTAATGCACTGTCACGATAGCCAGAATTTCTTTGCCCATTAATTAGGCCAACTGGCAAATTAAATACCTTGGCTGGGAAACCTGCTATGCAAACTTAATAAATAAATAAATAAAGTAAAGCAAAACGTTTTTTCCCCCACCATCACCTTTCATGCAGATGTATTGCTGTATTGACTAAAAAAAAGTTTTGTCATCCAAAACATAAAATGTTTTCTTAAGAATACAAAGTGTTGGAAAACAGAAGGAACAAATGAATGCGACATTTTGGATTGAAGCGCACACATCAGGCTTAATGTGCTTCTCGGGGTGACTTTCGGCACCATTTTGACTTACATTTCTTCCAGCACAGCTCAGAATTTAGACTTGATAACTATTGATTCCAGCCTTGCAACGTTCAGAATAATTAACAAGTGTTTCTTCTCAATCGCCCAAATACTCCCCCATGAGATTTTCATTCTCTATTCCTAGATTTCATTCCCAGCGATATAATGTCCTTTCGTTTGTTACTATGTTATGTATTTTTGTGTTTTTTAAATATATTGCAAAGCACCCGGTGATCCTCAGATGAAGGGCAGAATGGAAATTTAATATACAATAATAATAATAATAGTAATAATAATAAACAACAAAAAAGCTCAGAGTCTGTTGCACATGCCCGAGGGCACCAGTGAACACCTTCAGGGACACCATACTGCTCATCGGGTATGAGGGGACAATCCCTGCCTTAGAGTAAACATAAAAGCATATTCATAAAAACCTATTTAAACAGTCATAAAACAACAATGAAACTTCTTCCCAAAGCCTGAACATCAGGGCATCACATGCACAACACTAAGGTAAAGGTAAAGGGACCCCTGACCATTAGGTCCAGTCACGGACGACTCTGGGGTTGTGGAGCTCATCTCGCTTTATTGGCCAAGGGAGCCGGCATACAGCTTCCGGGTCATGTGGCCAGCATGACTAAGCTGCTTCTGGCGAACCAGAGCAGTGCACAGAAACGCCATTTACCTTCCCGCTGGAGTGGTATCTATTTATCTACTTGCACTTTGACGTGCTTTCGAACTGCTAGGTTGGCAGGAGCAGCGACCAAGCAACGGGAGCTCACCCTGTCACAGGGATTCAAACCGCCAACCTTCTGATCGGCAAGCCCTAGGCTCTGTGGTTTAACCCACAGCACCACCCACGTCCCCCTATGCACAACAACATTGGGCCCCCACAATTGCCCTCATATCAGGTGCAAGAGTCCTATCACATCAAGTTCAGGGGGAAAGCTATAGCTCAGTGGGGGGGTATCTGTACTTGTGAAACATGGACCACTTATACACACCATCTCCAACTCCTCAAAAGGTTCCATCAACGGTGTCTATGAAAATTTTTACACATTGCTTGGGAAGACAGGCGAACTAATTCCAGTGTACTGGAAGAAGCAAAGATCCCCAGTGTCAAAGCGATGATTCTCCAACATCAACTTCATTGGACTGGTCATGTTGTGTGGATGCCTGATGATCATCTTCCAAAGCAACTACTCTATTTTGAACTTAAAAATGGAAAGTGCAGTGCTGGTGCTCAACAAAAAAGGGTTTAAAGATGCTCTCAAAAGATGCTACATCTTTAAAAATGTAGTATAAACACTGACAACTGGGAAACACTGGCCTGCAAGCACTCCAGTTGGAGAACAGCCTTTACCAAAGGTGTCATGGGCTTTGAAGACACTCGAACTCAGGACGCAAGGAAGAAATGTGCTAAGAGGAAGGCACACTTGGCAAATTGCACACCAGGATCAACTCTCTCCCGGAAACCAATGTCCCCACCGTGGAAGGACATGTGGATTCAGAATTGGCCTCCACAGTCACTTACGGACTCATTGTCCATGTTTATGGAAGACAATTTTACTCGGCTACGAGGGATCGCCAAAGAAGAAGAAGATCTGCTTGGCAAGAACCAGGTTCATTTCCTGGGTAGGGCTGGGAGAGGGTATCTGCAGAAAACTCCAGATTTAATTCTGGGTGATTTGGGGTATGGCTTGGACAGACTCCCAGTCGGAAGTCCTGCAAAGCCTCTGTTAGTCATTGTAGACAATACAGAGCTGGACTGACCAATGGCCAGACTCAGCAAAAGGCAGCTTTCTATGTTCTTAGGTTCTTATTTGGAGCAGTTCTGAAAACAGAGATTGCTAAGAACTGGAAATGGTACTGGTTTTGAAAGCTTGCAAATTGCTGTTAGCTTCACATGATTTCTCTCATCTATAAACATTTCCTTTTCTTTTTTTCTTTGCAAATCTATCATTCCATTGATTGTCACACACACAAAAACCACCCACCTCTAAATGTAAACAGAATATGCTACATTCCTCTAAGAGGGGATATGACGAGTCAGTCCGTTCTAAGATGCTGGAAATCTATTTCCACTGATCCTTTCATCTATTCCCGAGTTATACTTTTCGTAAATTAATTACCATTGCTGATACATGCCCAAACTGCTACATTCAGCCGATACAAATCAATGGCAAAATAGATGCTGTGATTAAATGAACAGGCAACACAATGGTGATATGATGAAGCTAGTTTGGAACAGTTTGAAATGTCGTTCTCCTTGCTGCAGACTTCAGTGGTCATAATTAGTGCGGCTCCAGGCCCATTATAATCACAGCGTCTTTTTCATATAAGCGAAGCAACATTCATCAACTAAAGCTTTTGTTGATTATTGGCGGGGGTCCATATTAATCAGTGGGGGCTGCGAGCAGGGACACGAGGTTGTAACTTGGTGTACGTGTGTCCATCTTTAAATGGGGAGGGATAGTGAGCAGGGCCAGATTTCGTTTTGATGAGGCCCTAAACTACTGAAGGTAATGGGGCCGTTTATATGTCCAGCTGTCCTTTGTCAACAACAAATTGTCACTGCTTTTGATGTTGAATATATGCTCTATGGTAATTTATGGACCTAATAGGTATCTCAAGCCATTTGCACATGTAGCCATGCAACCAGTCCATGCAGAATGTAGGCAGCCTATATATAGAAATGATCAAACCAGTGATATTTTAGGGAGCAGACTAGCAGGCGGGGCCCATGACTTACATCATAGGAGCCTACACAACACAAAACACTGTTGCTGCATGTAGGTTCTATTTTATTTGTTTTTTTATCTTATATTTTGGAAATGTATATCCAGGTTTTTTTCCCTTAACATTTTTTTTGGGGGGGGCAAAACAGTGGGGTCCTAAGTTATAGCTTGTTTAGCTTATACGTAAATCTGGCACTGTGTACGTGTGTCCATCTTTAAATGGAGAGGGGAAGAGAGTTAAGAGACAGGTGGGCTCACTTGTGCTTGTTTCTTCCTTGGCCTTTTCCATCCACTTTCCTTCTTTGCAAAAAGAGGGACAAAAGGGGCCTCAAATCAGCCTGCCTCTGCTGATGGGAGCTGTAGCACAGGAGTTTTAGCTGGAGGGTGCCAGCATGGGGAAGGCTGGTATGTATCCACATCCAAAATGGCTGCTAGCCTCGCTTCAGTCTTGTGTAAAATGGGTCATGGCAGGGCTGAATATACCAGAAAAGAAGTGGAGAAGGCTCGTGGCTTTTATCACAGCTAGAACGCAACCCACCTGCTATTTTTCTTTGTATTCAAACGAAAGCATTGCTGTGGAATTTTTCCTCGTTTATCTGAGGTCACTTGTTTCCTCAGATGTGTCATTCCCTGAAGTAACATGACTTTAGCCATGAATAAATCA